CTAACACTCAACAGGTCTCCTCCCAACCACACATCAAGTGATAGTTTCCACAGTGTACTCACAAACCTACAGGTCATGAAAGTGCATGTGTTAACAAAGTGTGACTGACAAGTGTAAAAGCCTATATTGTGACTAAAGTAGACAGATTTGACAGAGTCAGTGCACCTCCAAGATCGATGTCAAAGTTTCAGCCAATTATTCTGTAAAAGGAAGGAACAAAATTACACGCTATGGGGAGATTTATTTAACTGTTTATACTACAAAATACATAAGCACAGTGTTTAATGGTTTACAACATTGAACATAGAAGTAAAAAACCATGCAGTAAAAGGTTTGTGGAGTAAATCCAGAAAGTGTTTGCTTCATTTTTATATTTCCCTACTATTATGTACTCTTGGCAACAAGAACCCCGAACATGGTGTTTGAGTGTCATGTCTGATCTCTTTTTCGTCCCACAAAGAATGCCCCTCCCCCAAAAGAAAAACAAACTGTCATCATGTCATCACAGGGCAACTTTCCCTCTGTCTCTCCACCGCTGCGATACCACAATATTCCTTGTTAAAAATAGCAACATCACAGAAGCAGGAATTCAAATTAAAAAGGAACTTAACTATTCAAAGAAGTGATGGCTTCTCATGTCTGTCTTGGGACTGTTCTCATATACCAGGATGCTGTTTAATCCTCTTGTATTTCTTGTTGTCGCCTCTTTTTCCTCAAATCGGTTTTTGCCTGAAATCCAGTTCCCTTCACTTTTCCTTGATCCAGTTTCCTTCCTTGGAAGCAGTTTCAAATATAATGAAGAAAAAATCCAAAACGTTTAGAATTTATAAAATTAGAATAGGAACACATTCCTTTTTGGCGGCATCACAAAGTCACTTGCATCAGCATTCTCTGAGTAGCAAGATATTGGATGCCCCATTACGACTGCAAATCCAAAAACAAGGGGTACGTAAAGCACAGGAAAAAAAAAAAAAGCAAAAAATTTGGATAGGCTTTTCTGTATTCTGTTGTTACTGAACAGTTCTGATCCAGAAACAAAATAATCAGGTTCAGTGGACTGGCCATGCAGGACTTGCCAAAACTGAAAACACCTAGATTCAATGAATCATCACCTTGACTTTCCCCTGAACTTTCACGACACCGTGTTCATTCATATGTGACACTCATCACCGGCCCATAAATATCAACTGACTCAATGCAGCAACCATGACTCAGGCTAAAATATCCACTTCCTTTAGGCCTGTTACTGCGAGAGCTTTTGGTGTACCTTGATGATCCACTTATCTTTGAATTTTCCAGGACTTGCACGCACTTGTATGGGGAAATAACATGACAATGTACAAACAGAACAAGAATGACAAAAGTAAACAGTGAGGTGGTTTACGTTCATTTTTATTTCTGACAGGACTGTGACAGACAAGCCCAAACTTGGCGGATGCATTCTTCTAGCCCTAACAAACGATAGTTAGGGCAGGACACTTGAAAATTGCTATGGAAGGGTACCCAACCTGTATTAATTGGGTGCCAACATGAAATAAATTATTCACGTTTTTGATACTTGCAAAGAAATGAGTATATTTGGGGTTCTACTTGAATATCCTACTTACAAAAGTCATATTACAGTGCATAAGTTGCAGGACAATGATTAATGCAAAATAGACATCATAATCCTAACTATTATTCCTAAAATCTGCAAGCATTGTGAACCTTCTCCCCAGATATCAAGACGTTTTGCTGAAACACAGTTTTGATGAGACACTTGGCATAAACAGCCACTTAAAGAACAGCATCAGTAGCATTGTAATGTTTCGCCCGAAGGAAAAAACTGAGCTAAAATGGACACCAAGAGTCATCCAGTTTGAGGAACTAAAACCAAATACAATCTCACCCCTGTAATTATCTGTAAGTAAACATTTTGCACTCCCATTTGGTTTAATGTCTTCTCTAGGAATTATTTTACTTTAATTTCCTCACAATTGGCAACACTGTCTAACTCCTGGGTAATTCTGTACTCCCTATTTTTTTTGGCTAAATATCACGACTCATTCTTTGCATTGTGAATGTGCTCGTCACTAACTTTATGGATTGGAAAACTCATCAAAACTGAAATTTTACAAGACCTTTTGTGATATCCTGGGACTGCATAATTTATGTGAGGTAAAATGGTAGCCATGTTAGACCTGGAATATTCCCTCTTAACAATCAAGCCATAAATACACATTATAAAACGATTTATAAGGATGTGTGAACATCCTCAACATAAACTTTCCAATTCAAGAATTAGGGGAAGGGATGGATTTGAAATACATCCACCAAGGCATTACCTGTTGGCCATTTTATATTTATTCATATAGGCACCCTTCCAAAATACTATTCCGGTGACATTTCTTCTAAGTATGAACGGCAAGCACATGTACATGCTCCAAGATGTAAGCTAAATTTGTTGGTCAAGACCCCTTCATGAGCTGCACACCTAAATATTTGATATGTCCAGTAATTGTTATTAAAATGCAATATCTCACACCACAAAAGAAATGAAATAATTAACATTTTCTTTCCTTGGTCAGGATTTCCTCTAGAGGTCAACATGCCTTGGACAAAATTCGTGCAAGTTTGTTCACTGAGTTCAACAAAATCACTTCCTTTACAGTAAACATCAAATTAAGTACGATTTACCCTTTCATTTAACATACATGTATGAATAAATTTGATTGGTCAAAAGTAAAGAATTTATTTTTTTTTCGCTTGCCCAATAACAACAGATCTCCTCTCAACCTAGAGAACTTGAATGCTTGGGTGGTGCAAATCGTAAGTCTCCATGGTGGAATTCTTCAATGCCAATCTAAAGTCTTGCAAATTAATATGAAGTTTGTTTCCTTATAGGGATTGTTTCCTTATAGAGATTACAGGGAAATAAATAAGTCTAGATATATCTTGAACTCATGAAACTGGAGTGTATAATTAAGTGAGCCAATCCACCAAAGCACTTTGAATATCAACGGCCTCATGCTGTGTTGTCACATTTTGCAGAGAAAGACTGTGTCATTTCTTCTTGCTGTAATTTCCTCAAATATCTTTTTTTTTTGCCACATGCAGTCAAATAATAATGAAACAATCCTACTTGTGGATTCCACATTGTTGAGACAATGTTTACAGTCTCAAATGGCAAAGTAATAAGCATGGTGATACCGAAACCTTGTTTAATGGTGAAACTGCTTTCTACCTGAAGACCCTCATTGCAGAATATTGTCTCAAAATGTCACCGATGCTTCAAGCTCCTTGCAGCCCACACACAAAATATTAACATTTCCATATTGTAGAATCTACTTTGGCAAAGTTTCTCTTAAGCTTAGAACAGACTGCTGCAACAATCAACTTGACTTTCAATACATCCATCAAATTTTATAATTAATTTCCAACGACCTCTTTTACCATTTTTAATTGGTGTTTTGAGGTAATTTCCAAATTAACGTGGCTTTGATAATATGCATTTCTTGAGTACTTTCAAAGAAAATGACCCCCCCTATCATGCAATAGACAGAAATACAATGAAGTCAAATTTTTAAATAACTTGAAAGCTTTGTGAGACATGTCAATGCTTACGTGCAGCCAGTAACCACTGGCCCAAATGCACCTATCTCTGCTTTAAAAAAAAAAAGAAAAAGAAATTCACGAGTTTCTTATAATGTGTCCAGCAAAAAGGGATGAGGGTAAATAAATTCCATCAAAAAGACGAGTGACGTCAAACAACTACCCTACATGACACTGAAAATGAGGGTAATACTGTACAATATTTAGTGGTCGATTCGGTGAAAGAATTACTTTACTGACAATCTGCTCTCAACTTTGTCTTTAATTACTTTTTAATTTTGAGTTTTCCAACCTCTCCTTGTTCATGTTTCCTGTTGACGTCCTCAATGATATTTAAAACAAGTGAAACATCTAGATATACGTATGCAAACCCACAAGAAACCAGACACAATCCACAGGACGACCACCATTTATCCAAATAGGCCATTTTCCTCTTACTTGTTGGTCAGCTCAGCAGGTTTGGAAATCAGTCTCCTTTAGGTCTGCCACCATCTAGCCAGTTACAAAATGCCTCCCTTTTAGTCACCACCAAAAATATATGTGACACTTTTATCTCAGTTTCGCTAACCTCAAACGTGCCAGAAGTATTTTCACTTTCAGAGCTTTGTGAGACACAGAGCATGTCAAAAGCGATAAGTAATGCAGACGTAAAAAAAATATTTAGCACACTGGACGTTCATCACCTGAAGTAATGTTGAAAATTTCATAGATTCGTTAGATTACACAATCTAACAGCACCCAAAGGTGCCAGAAAATTTTGGAATTACTCAACAAAATGCAGTTAATTTCAAAATGTATTTTGGAGAATTCATTTTCGAAATCAAGGTATGCTAACTGGTCGTCTTCTCTAAAATGGCTTGTTTTTCTACTGTGTGCAATAAATAATTCCAGCGGACAGAAACAGCAGGATGATCCAAAACTGTGAAGGAACTGTAAGCTTAAGATTCCATGGGTGATCAGATGGTCTGGTTTTGATGAAGTTTCCTCAAAACATTGAACACCAGCTCTCGTAACGTCTGAAAAATAAGCCACAAATATAAAAAGCAATTAAATTCTAATAAAAAATCCTACCAAGTAACCATACAAGGGCAACAATGATTCCACGAGGCGGCAATACTTAAATGGAAAAGAACATTCAATCTGTCACTGAATGAAATTGTTCTTCCGTTATTTGCTTCATACAAAGCCAGAATTAATCTTCTCTATGTACAAGTTGCCCTTCTATTTTCTTAATCCAAAATAAAAGCACAACGCGAACATTTCATGTGGCCAGCCACAACAGCGCCCTCTCATGTGTGCGTAAACCAAGTAACGAAGATGAAAAAACTACCACGGTAAAATAGGTTTAGAACGTAAACTTTCCAGTGACCATAAACAACACAAAAACAAATATCAACAATGTGCAAAACAAAATCCCAAAATGTAAACAAGCAAAATGCCACAGCACAGCTTTACTTAGTAATGATATGTCACTGACAGTAACAACACTTGCTTTAAAACAGTGAAGCCAACTACAGAATTTGGAATGCAACTGTTGTACACTGGTGAAGACTAAAGACTCTGTTGGAATTCTCTCTACTGGCCAATGGAGGGCAGCATTTATGTTCACTGGGCAGAAGTTTTATGAGCAGGTACAAAGAGTGATTGGAATTGTCATTACACTTAAAAATTGTCTGCTATATTGCCACATGATTGATCCCATTCACTTGGAAGAGGACACACCCTTGCAGGCCAGGTGTTGTGATCAGGTTAACTTGAATGATAAGCGTGCCGGGGCATCTTCAAAGGTTTCTAATGCAATCATAGAACCACGGCAACGAGGTCTGATGGTGTACATGGCCACAAATAGGCCCTCGATGGTGACTGGCTAACTCCTAAGCCAGAATTGACTAAAGCACAGGTTCATTATCATGACTAATCCCATCACAGGGGCAGTTGTGCACACCCCATCCGCATGTTAAAAACAAGGTGCAGTGGGCAGAAACGACTCATGAAAAGCTTCATCCACGTTTTCAGACTTTTCGGCAAACCATCCCACCAGCATTTTCTTTTCAGCTGGCCAGAGATAAAAAAGTGACACACAGCATACTATCCTATCCTCTTCACGGGAATGAAGTATTAATTTGAGATTGGAGTCAACCAAGTTTGAAGTCAGATCCGATTTCCCTAGCACTAGGGCAGAGTTGCAGGGACAAACCAGATATATGCCAGTTTCCTTCCCAAGTTCCCTTAATCAAATAGCTGGCTGTATGTGTTCATCCACAACACATTAATCACCTCTTGTGGTCACTCTTCTATTTTCAGGAATTGTTCTAATACGTTTAACCAAAAAAAAAAATTTTTAACAAGGAGACACGACAGTCTGTAATAAAGTTGCAGTTTATAAACGCTGCTCATTAGCGGTCATTTTCCCAAGACTTATGTTAGTCTCATTCAGTTTAGTAACTTTTTAAGACACTATTGATGTCAAGGAGCAATTTTGTCCAAAAATGCCTGGCCATGCCACAAAGGTAATGTCAGGTTACTGGGGTTAACCTCCATTTTATGATCTTTTCTCAAAATCTACTCGGGAGGCTTGGTTTAACTTTCTGCTTGAAGCAAGAACAAGTGCGGGCTTGTTTTTGCATAGTTAACAGGTTTACACACATTTAGCACGAGGCATGCAGACCTCACAGGACCAAATTCTTTTTGAATGCATGGTCTCTGCGTCTGTGCTGGGCATCCGCACGAGTCCAGGTGAAAAGCGCCCCACCAGCCTCTCTCTTCTTTGCCAGTGAGGACGCACTTCAACTCAGGGCGGATACCACTTGACCGTCAATGCTGGAGCACTCCCTTCCAGTTCCATCAGATAATGGACGATGTTTTGGCATCAACGTACCTGTGGTTTGCAGTACTCTTCCAGCCAGCTGAATACACACGCTGAGAGCTCGGCAAAACTGGCGACCGAGATGGAGTCATTGAAAGACTGGAACTGTGAATCCATGATGGCGCGGAACTATTCACCGAGACAACAAACATGACGGGTGTGAGTCAATAGAGCTTGCACTTTATCAACTACATTTAATTCCGTCAGGATAATTCAATTGACCACAATTTGCTGCGTACACTTACCACATCAAACTTGACCTGGTCCGATACTTGATTCTGGCCTTGTCCCGGTGTGTTTTGGTGAGCTTTCACAATCTGTTCGTAATTACTGTAAGATGAATCAAAATCAAGTTCAGAATCAGAATCAAAATCAAATCACAGTCCTTGGGACCGGTAGCATGCATCACTACTTATTCCAAGTCGCACTTGTACGATACTCCTGTGTGAAGTTGACTACATGGTGATCATATGGCACGTCAAATTATCATTTACACTGTACCTTTTCATGATCTTGAGGGCCATGACTTCCTTTCTCAGGTTCTCTACCTCTTGCTCCTGTTTTTTCTTCTGCTGTGCCAAATACTGGATGTAGTCAATCGCTGTTGGAAAGCACAACTTTATTATCCACTGAAAATCTCCTGACGAGTACGGACTTTTGCATTTGACAAGAGAAAGAAAGCTAACAGAGCTGAAGGAATTCTTTTATCAGTTCACTAATAACGCATTGCAAGGCATTCGTCTTTCACTTTCTGAAATTTATCAGAGAGCCAAAGTGGTGCCTTTCTGAAAGCAACAGTTGGGATTAATTATAAAGGTACCGCGTAGTCTTCCGCATTTGTTCAGCAGAGCTTATGTTTCTCATTGCTTTTCACCCGTCTTTCCAGGCGAGCCAATCAACAGTTTTTGCTTGAGCCTTACACTGAATTACTAATATAAGTTCATGATGTCACTCGGCTGAGAATTGAAAACAAAAATGGCATCCCGATCTCGATGTCCCAAAATTTAGGTGGTTGTAACATGATAGATTACTTTTATATCAACTACCTGTATTTGTTGAGCATTCATCCTATCAATTTCCAGTTTTGGGGGAGAAATGGCCAAAATTTGCAGTACTAAAATGAGTGCAGACATCATACATTGTGACGGTGACAGTACCCCATGTCACATAGAAAAAAATTGAAAATGGCTCAAATTTTTCAATTACAGTGGAACGCCGCTATGACAAACACGACAGGGTCCACACTAAATGTTCGGTATAGCGGTCGTTCGATATAGCGAAATTGACTTGCCAACGTTTCGTTGCCATGTTGAATAGCGTCCTCTCTTGTCTAATGAAGTGCACCCTCTTGTGATACTATCATTCGCTGTTTCATGATGTTTTGCCATTGCATTCACGTTTGAGGTTTCTAGAAATGTATCTGTTAATTATTTTTGTTTTTTCATGAAATCTGGAGTTACAAAATTGATATTTAGTTTATCCTAAACGTGGTCAAGCTACTGCTTAGGATCAATCCCTGATGCATGCTGTGGCGAATCTCGGTTGATTTGCAACTGCATAATATTCGGTGGGTTTTGTGCACAAAATAATGGGAGCCAGGACGATGTTCAGTACAGCCGAATGTTCGGTATAGTGGTGTTCCGTATAGTGACGTTCCACTGTATCTGCTCTCATCACAAGTTTCTGGCTGCCACCCTCGACTACAGAAGGATATTTGGGAGTGCATATCTCTGGCGGTCTCAAAAAACATGCTCTACATGATGTTGGCTGATGTTTCAGTTTGAAAACGTCATAAGTGGACGTGAAGCATGTTGAAGGTATTCAAGGTGACTCGATTGTATTTAGCACAAGGGCTTACAGAAAAGCAAGTCCACAAACCAAATAGACCCAGCAGGATTTCATGCGGGATCAAAGGTGAAAACTTTTTTATTAACATACTTTGGTGTCCTTCCTTTTTCTAGAATAAAGAAATGTTGCTTACTTGAAGAAATGTTCATTACAAAGCAAAAATTTTGATAATTTTGATGACTTGATATTTACTGTAGAAACTGTAGAATCTAAAATGATTTTTTTGTTCGACTTTCAGCATCTGATCTAAATGTTTGTCCCAACTCTACCCAACAGGCAGGGGCTTACATCTCTGAAGGATGGTTGCTTTGCTGAGCTTCTGGGAGCCCACGCTGTCCACTTGTTGACAAGTTGGAACAATCATCTGCAGCTCCTCGTAACCTTTCTGCAATCAACAAGACATTCAGTTTGAGTTTTGGAACAGACCGCATAAAGTTGAAATGCTAGAGACACAATCTAGCAGAGTTCTACTGAAGCAAAGTGGTGGATTTTTACAACTACATACACGTATACTTAAATCAAGTTCACTTTGAGTGATTTTTCTAATGAATTCTAAAGAACCTGACAAGGTCAAAGATCCTTGAAAGAAACTTTCTATGATCAAACAGTTCTACACAGGTTTTAAGTGCCTCACTTTTCTCACAGCAAATTACTCAGATCAGGAAAAGCCAGATAAAACCATAATGCACTCATTTTAATTTTGTTGTCAAGTGCGCGCTCGAGACATTACTCACTGCTCATTAGACACGGTGATAACCAAAAGTACAGCAGGCAATTATCCAGTCATCACAGTACCTTTATGGCATCTCTTCTCTTTTGTTCAGCCGCCGTGTGGGCATTCCGCCGTCTGTCTTTGTAATTACGATACGCATCAGAAGTATCGTCATCATCATCTGCGAACATGGGGAAGACCAAATGATAACTGGACCGAATTCTTTTTGTGGAAGATGACCAATATTTAGCATGGACTACGTGTATACGGACTACAAGTCCTATCCCAAATCTGACACTAAGATATAATGCTGTACAGTTATGGGCTGCGAAGCTTGAGGGTGTGGACTTTAGACTAACAGCAGGAAGCTGGCGATTTGGATAAACAGGTGCAAATGCATGCTGACGATGTCCAAGTATTCTACGGAGGACTGGAGTGAAAGACCTTGACCTCATGTGGAACAATGTCACTGTGGAGGATTACTGTGGACCACGCCTCAGAGTTTTATGTGGTGAGTTTTCACATGGGAATGACAAAACAGGAAAGTCCTGTCACGGCTGAAGCAATTCTAAGACCAAATGACCCAGTGCATGCCAACTTCAGATTGTCTTGTCACCTGTCAGCTGAAGTCCTCCATCGTTCAAGCCAGGCAGAGAAGACGTACTGTTCTGTCTAGACGTCTGACCCGATAAGGGCAAATCGTCATCCTGCATACCTGATGCATGGAAATGAACAAATCAAAAGCACATTCCAAACTGGCAAAGGAAACGACAATATTTGATAAGAAAGTTCATACAAAGATATCATGCAAACCAAAGGGAGTGATTCTTTTTTGAAAAGGCAATTAACAAAGTATTTTGGCATGATTACACTCGTACATAAACTGAAAAATATCAGTAAGTTGACAATGGCCTGAAACGTGCATTTCATGCCTACATACCCTTCGCTAGCACCCACTAAGTTTAAGAGATCAACAACTTACTACATGCATCCACTTTTAACATGGGTGCCGTGTCTACAATACACTTGGAATACATGTTACATCCCCAGATGTTAACCCATCAATTATCTTCAAGAATGAATTTATAAAGGTATACATGACTGCAGCAACTTAGGTGGACATTTCTACATCAAAGAAGCGACATGTAACAGTTGTACATGTATGCTAGGAGAAGTGTTGCTTGCAAACCTCGACAAACCCTTTTCAATTTTTCCCTTTTTTTAATGCCTGGAGATTTCAACAATCATTGTGACAGTTGCAATAGACTGATGATGCAATAGACTGATTGCACCCACAAAATCACGTGACCTATAGTTGTTATCAACCCCACAGCAACGTGTCTTTTGAGTAATTCAATTTTGTTTTCATACTCTCTGTTTGCGCGTATAGATTTCATTTAGGCAAATGTTATGGCTCCATTTCGTTGCATTTAATGAAATTACAAATGAGAAATAACAAGAATGGAAAACAGCATGAGGATTACATTTTGGGGGAAAGCTAGCATGGACGCGTGCATTAATCACTGAAGTATCTTTTTTTCGGAAAAAGGATGCCAGCTTACTCGTGTTGAATAGCAGCTCTTTCCTACGACACCACTTTTTTTTGTGCTTTGGCGTTTCAAGGTGACGTATAATATCGCTCAGTCCCCATGGTCCCCCACTATACTAGCTAAGCTATATAATAGTATATTTGATATCTTGCCAACAGTATTGATAAAACATTAAACTGCTCCCCCTTTGAGGATGCAGAAACACGGTATTTTGCTTCACATTCTTCTAAAAATGTCTGTACTCTGCCAGCGGATTTCTGGTTGCACTTCTCCATGATTAATCAGCCTGTCAGCATAGACATAGCAGACAGATACAAGCACTCTATGTACTCACGCTCACATCCATGACATCGCGTCACGGTTGTCACATGCGCACACACTATGCATCCACACTGGTTATGAATACATGTAGGCTCTTCACAAATGGCAATATATTCGTTTTTCTTTTCCCATAATTACTGGACCATGCATACAAATAAAGATTTTTAAAAAGTCAAATTAATTTATACTAAACGACAAAATAATGAGGGAGTTTTTTTTGGGGGGGGGGAACCACAGAAGTAAACAATGCTATCATTTCATTCATTTTTTGTCCCTGACATGCCAACCTTGTTCCCATTCATACGAACTTGCCCTGCTATGAATTTCAAAGGAATGTGCACACTGCCAATGGAGTTGAGGTTGGTGTCCGCATCTTGGTTGCGGCTTGAAATTACACACAAATCTACAGGTACGGTTGTGGCTGCACCCAATTTCCTTACAGTCTCGCATAAACTGAAGCCGCAGCCAAGCGATTTGGGCACAACCAGGACATACCTGGGTATGTGTTGTACGACATAGGATGAGGACAAGTGAACTTCTCAGACAATCAGCGGAAATTTTCAAGGCTTTTTTAGATTTTTTTTTCTCCCAAAAATTGGAAAATCAGAACATTCCAATTTTTAGGCCTTTTAAAACTCAAAAATTGGAACAGTTCATCTTAAATCGGAACAGTTGGCAGGTCTGCAACACCCTGTCAGGTAAACAAAAACGTACACATGTACAAGCATACACTACTGCATTTAAAGGTGTCTCACTCCCATAAGCAAATTAGTTAACAGAATAAGCAGCTGTTGGCTGCCAAAGACGCACGACACCCTTTGCTTAAGGGCATCAAGAGTTCATTTGTCATATGACTATGTAGTGTACTTACTTTGGTCAAAACTAGAGTCAGCAAAGCTGGAATCTGTGGCCGACATCTTGACAGAAAGTTAAGGCTTACCCTGCATGAAGACTTAAAGCCAAACCATCATTTAAATGCACATTTCTGTAATTAGACATTGTGGAATTGTCACTGTGATGCATGGTGCACTGTTGGGGACAGCTTCCACTTCGTTTGAAGTATTTGCAGTTTAGCAAATTGGTTTAAAAATCTGGGCAGTAATGATACAATTTGAGGTGTGCATGTCGTAAACGTTACATGGGCATGCTGTGATATGGCATCAGGAGGCCCAAATTGAGTACTGAAATGAAATTTATGGCCCTGAGGAAAGTTGTACCTCAATGAGAAAAAACACTACTAAAAGCCAACATTTCAGGCACCATAAAAATGAATTTGTGGACAGTATATCTTGTACAATAAGAAGCAGCATTTCACAGAACTGTGACCATTAGAAAAAAAATGCCACGAACATGGCCTTCACGTGGAAACTTTTTTGGTATAACTTACTGAGACTACGAACAGCCAGTAAACTGTCAAAATTGTTAATTATTGGCAACTGTCATTAGTGTTACTTCGGCGAATTGGAAATTTTACAGGGTCAACCAGGTCGCGGAAGAATTTTAGATAAAAAAGTCCCTGGCAGACGGCCACTGTAATGTAAAACGTAGCAAAAGGATCATAAGAGTAGGTCAGGGCATATTCACATGGCCTTGGTTTTCCTGCACAGTCCTGTACGAGATGTATCAAATAAAAAAAGGAAATCCTACTTTAAATGGTTACTTTGGCAAAGCTACAAACTTGGTATCATCTCAAAGTAGAGAACAAACGCTTTCCAATGATGCCTCATTCATGATTTTACTGTTTTTTGATTACAGTCACTTTGCCCCAATCCAACTTCGCCCCATCCCCACTTTGCCCCATCCAAACTTCGCCCCATTTCCACTTTGCCTGTCGGTGTTCGAGCGTGTTACAATTAAGCCTCTTCATGGAGTTATAGAAAACTCTATGGTCGAGTTCGGGTGGCCTGTTCTTGATATGGATTTCGTATTCTCATGCTCGAACGGTGGGAACACGACCCAAGACACTGTTCTCAGAACAGGATCACACACCACCTCCTCGTCAGGTTTTTACACGAACACACAGAAAAACCTGTGAGAACTGATTTTTAAACAGCTGCAAAAAGTATTGACATGGCTAACAAAGCCGGAGACAATGGAAAGTTTTGCAAAATTAACATTAATAATTTCCATGACTGACACGATTTTTTTATAAATGGAAATTAAAGAAGTTAGCCCAGTTATCTGACATTAACTCTCGAAAACTGCACAAGGACGCTGCCATGTTGTATGTTGCTTTCCACAAATAACCATCAGTTGTAATAACTGGTTGTACGTTCCCGGCATTCAAGCGGCCGACCCGCGAACAACAAATCGAGCTGTTCATGAACAAACGAGAACATGCCACCCGAACTCATCCTATGGCATTCATGGTGAATTAATAGTTGGACTTGAATTGGGTTTATTTCTCATCCTCTTTATTTTAATTTGATACAAACTTCTGTACAATATGTACATCGTTCTGGTAATTGTCACTGCCATGCAGTACATCTGGTCATTTATGGGAAGAATATGAAAAATGCATCTCCCATTTTGTAGGCTGCTTCTGACATCATATTCTCAAGCCAGCGCTAAACAAGATTCGTACTGAATGGTTCAGCGGCTCCTTACTACATAGACGGGACATTTCTTAGTCCACATCCTCCAAAACCAACTTTAGAATAAATTAACTGGAAGTCAATGAAGCGGTTACATATTGATTGGAGTTTTCAACTGCCTTTAAAATACATATAAGGATGTGTGGCTAGGGATGGAGCGGGAGTGAGAGTCCATGCCCCACTAGTGGGGCTAGCATAGGCCATGTTTTACATAACATTTCCCTGAGCAAGTTGTTTTAATGGGTAGGATAGGCCTAGGGCCTACCTCTGACTTGGCTGGGAAGCCTACTCAAACCGTTGCTTTTTTATTTGTCGCATCATGCTTCTCTTTACATGCTTAAAGCTGAAAGAAACGAATGAACGATAACCAGTGGGACGAAGTAGAAATGGGGCGAAGTAGAAATGGGGCGAAGTAGAAATGGGGCGAAGTAGGAATGGGGTGAATTGGTTAGGGGGGGAGTGACCGACACCTCCAACATGTAGGCCGACTTCAACTGCAGGCACATTTCCCGCGAATCGTACAATGTACATGTACCCCCAGCGCACACAGCTGTACCGCCAGGTAACCAAGTTTTGAACGCATTTTTCACAGATCCCTTCTCTGCTCCATCATGAAAATTTTTGCTACGGACACCCTTTGTCACTATGAGATATTGAAAATTACTATTTTGGGAACAGAAATTCCAATACTTGGGGACAATGGTTTACCTTTTATCTGAAGATATCGCTCCCGTTCTTCATGCATGCCGCCATTTAGAAGCGTTTGTTGAGAATTGATGACCTCTGACTCGGATCTTGACTCTACCATATCTCGTATAGGGCTTACTTTCTATCTGTAGTAATTGTAAATTCGTAATAGCGAAATAATCCACCACATTGAGATGGTTTATTATTTATTAACCATGCTCTTTGTGTGAACCCTCTAAGTTTTCTGCATATTTCCCATCAAATGGGATTCTTTCAACTCAAGTATACCTCAAACCTAAAACAAGTTCAACCGTTTTGTAGTTTGTAAGAACCCAAGTTGATGTTAGTCCAGCACGTACGTACAATGTACATTACATGTGTACGTACGTACATACAGGACGACGGCTAGACTAGATACGCGCTCTCCGATCAACCCGGCAAGTGCCGCTACACTGACACTTCATTTCAACAAATCATCCGTGGTTGCTCACTCTTCGATAAAAAAAAATTAAGGCCTTCTCCGTTATATCCTACCAAGTGAGAACTTCATTTAAAATCACAACCAGGGAGCTTCAGCAGTGTGGCTCTGTCGACGGTTAAGGTATTTTTGTCAAGTTTGTACTAAAGTTTGGATACAATAACTAACTTTAATACTAGCGTAAATAATTCAGCGGGCCTGTGTGAATTGATTGACGGTATAGTTGCAAAACCAATCAGACTTGACAAGAAGTGCCGAAATTATTAGGGCCCTGGCGACTATACCGTCATAGACGTTACATATACACCGGCCAGTTAAATTATTGTTTAGGGAATGAGTTCCATGCCTGGAGATTACTTGAAGCTCTGAGTACAAACCATATGAGACTGGTCTGAACTATACTAAAGTGTTTTCTTACGAGGCCTAAGTACTACACCCTTCATTTTTCCCCATTTACTGTGACTTTCGAGGGCTGTAATCATTTTCTGATAGCCGGTAAATAAGGCCTATGCACATTATTGCAGAAATACAGAGAAACCTTATTGCTGAATTTTTCTACACAAACTAGACCTAGCATATTTTAATTTTAAATATTTTAATGTTAAATATCATTTAGGAAGAGAATTTAAAAAAAGTCAAATGTAAATCATTTCCACAGGTGTTTGTTTACATTTTGGAGAAGAGAATTTGAAACCAGGAAACAAAACATACTTTCAGGGTCAAATGAATCTGTAACATATATTTTATTTTACAAGATTTTATCTCTGCTTTTGTAAACCCGGCTAAAATTTTGTGAGATATACTCTCAAAATGCAGTTACATTTGAAACTTCTCAAATATTATAACAGTTACCAATTTTGATAGGGCTATAAATGGTAGAGATTTTAAGATATTTATATCAGCCACCGATATGAAGTTTCAGTTCGTAAACTTGATGTGAGAAAATTTCAGATTATTGATTATAAATGGCAATTTATTCTCTCTGACTGATAAAATAATTTCAGAGGAGTTATTTAGCTGGACTCCCTATGACCAGATCGCCTCCAAAAGGAATTACATGTTGGTTAGGACAATAAATGTGATTTTCTTTTCTGTTTTTTTTCCTTCACCTTATTGCCTGATTAACGTTAAAGATGTGACTGCTAGTTGTTCAAGATTTTAGCTATTCATGTACATGCAAAACTTTGGTCAAAGTGATCTACAACAGTTGTATGTTATACTCCTGCCTTTTTCATGGATCCTGAAAACCTTACAATCTCCAGTAATTTATGCGGAATTTTTATAAATCTGAAGGTGCTTATTTGTATTTTACGTGATCAAAGTCACTCTTTTAGGAGTTTTGAAAAATGACATTTGGAGTAGCATTTTGGTCCATTTTATGAAGAACATGCCTTAAGCTGTACAATTATCCACGGTTATTTACTATTGTTGCAATGCAAACATTACCTCTGTGACAAAACCAATGCCCCTCCAGACAGGAAGCAATCAACCTTGGCAACAAGCATAACGGATCATGTTACTCAAGTTGTGGCCAGCAGTGTAGACAGTATATGTACTTAAATTTTCATTTAATTTTTGTGTATGCCAAAATGTAATGACCCAAATAGTATTATTTATTCAACACAAAACACACACAACAGAATATTCGTTGCAGTATGTGAACACGAGAGCGGGATTACGTTGTAGACTGGTGCTGTGCATTCCTGTGACTGCACATGGTAAACAGGAACTTTTACCACAAGTAGCACAATACAGCTTCTACCGTGCATTGAATCTGTCCGTTGTGTGTTCATGTTTACCAAACGTGAAAGAGTGAAAAGAATAGATTGAAAAGCTTCAACTGTTGCAGTGTTCATTGAGTAATAATAACTTCTAAAAATAAATGCTGCATTTTTCCCACCATCCACAGGGCATACATTCCCGACTCCACGGATGGTCCAAGCACGATGACTTTGAGTTTAGGATAGTGTGTTGGAGATACTGGTCACAGCCACAGCTTTTCATATTATTATACCACGTTCACCATGCCAAAGACGCCCTTCAGGAAGCATGTCAAATTTGTAAGCATTGATAATAATGGTGCCAATGGTCCAGAGAATGCGGTACGAGATGGACAAGTGAGTGCCCAGTCTCAAAGGACAGAGTCCCCGATTGGAGGAGGCCCATCCAGTTTCCAGACGGAAGAAATAACAGAGATCCGTGTTGAAGATGAAGATGGTGTGTCTCAACCGCACCGCTTTCATCCTGACCACGCAAGGGAACATTGCAGTGAATGCCACATGCTGGGTAAACCCCACAAACACCAGCGAGTAACCGCCACTGATCAAGATGATGATGATGAAGACGGCTGTATTTACAGTCCTCAGCAAGGACCCCACATCATCATCCTGACGTTCCTTTGCATTCCATTTGTCTTTGCAACAGCTCTGGTGGTAAACACTTACCTGGGCATTCTTACCTGGTACAACATTTTCCTTTACTATTACGACGACAGAGGATGGATTCACCGCATCGTTGTCTGTCCTGTTCTTATCCTGTTATGTCCTCCCGTCATCCTAGTGACAGCTCTGGTCGTCTCCTTGTATTCGTCAGTCAGGCAACTGTCATGGTATCTCTCTTCATGGCGGACCTCAGTGACCGACCTGGAGAAGGGATTTTATGCATGGCTGTGCCACCAGCTTGGCCTACCGAATTGCTCGCCGTACGAAGTCATCACCCTAGACGACTACGAGGAAGATAGCTTTGGGAGGACCACATCATGCACACATGCCGTAAGCCAAGTATAATTCTGAAACAACTCTCCCAGGGTATTAACAGTGCTCTCGGTGTGACACATCATCACACTAAAGCAATAAAGCATTGGCGGAAATGGCCTAGACCGCTCAGTGTGGTACATATACATGTACAGGGTATGTCACCCAACCCAACAAATTGAGTCTGAAGGTGAAATGGCAGTGTTTTAGGAAAAGACCTTTTTGACAGATCCAGTTTGACAGAGATGAAGCAAATGCCATCGTTGTATTCATACAGATGTCAAATTGAATCATGTAACAAAGTCTTGTACCAATTTTAGAAACATTAAAATCATTTCACTCACTTTGAAACACTTTGAACATACATGTGCAATGTATGCATGTACTTCGTAGGAATGTAATTTGTAGCATGTATTTAAGGTCGGTAGTAACAAGCATGCACTTTTAAACCTAACAGTCCCGAATCTGCCAATTTCACTCTGATTTCACATCCACCCTAGGGGGTGGGCATACAAAAAAAGACATCAGGCAGCTTCAGGCAGATTGGAGCTGTATGCTTACCCTGTAAAGTCAAATTTAATTTGCGACTGCACACACACACATGCACCCACACCTGCATGGAATGCCCAAGAGTGTTTAAATTGACACTTTACCAGTAACCGCTCCAAATGGCAGGGAATTACTTGTAATTAATCAGAGTAGCAGCTGTCATATTGCACTGATCAATCAGCATACAGGTAGAGTATATGCATACAGCATCATTTCACAATACACTATATATGAATATCCACCTTGCTTGAAGTTTACAAGTTGAAATATTCTAATATGCAGGTACCAGTAGGCCTATAGTGTACCAAGCCTTATGTTTTAATGTACATGTCTTCATGTAGAACTTCACCTCTTTCGTGGAGGCCTAATGTATTCACCCCTGACGTTCTGAATGTACAGTGTATTGGTGTTTGAAGTACCTTGAACTGTTTTAATTTTATTCACCAGTCTTCTGGGTGGAAGAAAAGCAAAGCTCTGACGTGACGCTCAATTATCATGGTCCATGGCTATCCACAGTCAAAGTGGATGTACGATTCCGTGTGTGCAAATGTACAGGCTGCTGTGCGTGTGTTGCATAGTAATGTGCAGGTGGTATTGTTTTTGTAAATAGGGGCAAATCCTTGCTCGCATGCTGTAAACCACTCAGCACTTGTACAGCACCGTAATATTTCATCCTACGGAAAGCTCATACAATCTACATTGTTAGAGATTAACTTTTCTACACAAAAATAACCATTCGTGACAAATGTGAATAGTTAATGCATGATTTGTTTATTGTCGTATGGATTTTTCTTTTGGTTAAGGTCTATGACTTTCCATAAGTAATAATAATAATAATAAAATTATTATTTATTTGGGGCAATTGAACATACAACGAAACAATCACAAGACACAGCAGGCCATCCAGGAGAACATTAAAGGTTAAAATTAAATGTCGCCAAAAGGCGTATGCCTCCCAAGACCCAAATGGAAAGGTAAAACAAGAAAGAGCACAACAAGAAATATTCAATATGAAGATAAAAATAAAATAAAAAATGAATTAAAATTTAGGGATATTGGAATAGGGGAAATTTCTCTTTTGTAACAATTGCAATTTATTCATGGCTTGCAGTTTTGAGGGAATTTCTTTTAAACAAAAATGAACTTAATGGTAAATGTGCGTGTACAATATTCATATTATTGGCATATTTTTGACTGCAAGTAGTAGTAATTATATCAATTCTGTCTCCAAATTGTTTGATAAAGAATCAAATGCAATTTTGGTGAGTGTTAATGACTTGATAGATTGCATTGTAAAGCTAGGGGGAAATCACAAAGGAAGTGTAGACATTCAGGGACGTTATTTTCATATTGGAAAGCAGGGTATCTATCTAAAGTGGAAAATAAAAACGTACTCATAGGTTTCCATATTTAAAAAGCACCCTGGCACCTACTGGCACATGGCATCTTGAGTCTCACTGCAGGAATACACAAAAGCCTGAGTGCTTGACTTTAGTCAATGCTACAGATACATAAAGTTAATCCTAAAGTTAACCATAAACTTGTGTTCCCTCCACATCCTTGATCCTCAATGTCGGTAGAAAGTGACTTTGGACATGGGCATGCAACTTCCTTCATATAAGCTGATGTTCTCTTACAGTGTATGTTGTTACTCTCTAACTCTCTGGGTTACATACCAAATTGAAAAAAAAAAACACTTTGCAGAGTCCTTTTAGTCAACATTGCCTCGTTTTTTTCTGATTGCTTAGTTGTATGTATTTTTTATGGAAAACCTGAATTTACTGCAAGCATGTATCATGCATTGTCCAGCTTGTGAATTGTTTCCAATAAATTGTACCATCGCTCAGAGTTACAATGACTGACTGAACTCGAGTCTGACCTGAGTCATGAAAATTAATGACTCGTTACAACGCTGCCATTGCCAAGGAAAGAAAATCAATAAAATGCTGGACTACTTGTATAACCTCGACCGTAGTTCACTGCACTATTTCTTATTTATTTATTTATTTATTTTGTTTACGTTTACGTTCACGTTTATGTATGCATCAATTGTATGCTGTGTTACATAACAGTGCATGTCTGTCAATGCATGCATGTCTTGCACTCGGTGTACTATTGCATGCAGTATCTGTAATTAAATTTTGGTCACTTTCTTCATATGGGGTAGCGCGGACAACCAGGAGTTTCACAAAATTGCGGATAGCAACCACACCGCGCCAATGAAAACAACCGCAATGAGCACACGCGTACGTACTGATCAAAGAAAAGATTGCGTAACCTGATCCTCTGCTACTGTGTGTGTATTTCGGCATGGTCGCTGTTTTAACCGGCGCGCTACCTGCCATTTTGTGAGAATCCCGGATGTGCGCTCTGCCCCATACATATTGTGCATGCATACTCACTATGAATATTTGCTGGTACGTGCAAAGTGAACCTGCATTGCAAAGTTTACTTGGAATTTTAGTGTCTGTACATTTCTATTATCTTGTTTGTTTTATGTCCAGAAAAAGGCAATTGAATACATTTTCAAGACAGTATTTCTGAGAAAATGACTGATTTTAGTTTTGTAAAGTACTAAATGCTGTGAAATATGTGAGACAGCTTTGGATTTCATATTTTTAATGAAATGATAAACATGTACATGTAATGGGTTATTGGTGCTTCTGTACATTAAGAAAATTGTCCAAAAGAGGCCTTCACCTACATGTACATTGTCTCTACATGTACATGCACGTTACATGCACAAGTTTGCAAGTATTGTTGCATTATTTCATAAATAATAGTTGGGAGGTCCGTTTGGCAAATGAATCGGAATTTGAAATTCATGAAAATCATGAAAATGTATGCGCTGTTAGGTGACGGAGGTGAAACTGAGTGGAATAAAACATTTAATCTTTCACTGAATGAATTCATTCTTTCTGGTACAGGAATATTATTTTTTACAATGGCTGAATTTTCTTTTTGTGTACAAGTTATGGTCATGTTGATGTTCTGGCGTAAAATTACTGCCAAAGTTGCCATATTCAAAATCCTGGGTGAATAACTGACAAATTTTTAGTGAAAAGCATACTTGATTTAAAGATGGTCAGGGGACTAAACTCCCTGTGAAATTAATCTTTCTGGCAAGCTGTCAACTTTAAGAAACAATGAAAGAAAGCCATTTCCAAAGACTGTCTAAAATGCAATTGTGAAAAATTGCCATTTGAAGTGCATGCACACATGTGCGGTTACTTTAATTAACATCACGTAGCTGACTTCAACGGAACGTGAGAACGTGTCCCGGACCCTAAATTCAAGCACAATTCAAAACGTGACTTGGCCACTGTTGATCCGAAATCAAAATCTCAGAAAATTGCTTTTCTCAGAATATACAGTAGGCCTATTCACCGCAGTGAAATTTTGACTAATTTTGTTGCCTCAAAACAAAATGCATATATGACAAATGATGGACCGTATCTCCAAATGTTTTAAGTGCAAGCAGACCTGATGCAGCCAAAGTGAATCCCTTCTTGATTATATTTATACTTTTTCATAGTGCAGGTACGTGCCATGAATTGGCCTGAATATGTTATGGCACTTTCATTGAGCAGATGGCGGGAATTTGTTCAGGCGTTGCATGAAAAGAAAAGATATTAAATGCCTTGTTAAATGTTATTTTTTCTTGGTCTCGAGCATGCAATGTTTTGACAGATTGTTTAGGCCTTCCAATCTGTATTTTAATGATAAGTTTCTGAGTTGGAAACCTATTGCTTTGACCTGGCTACTTGGTTTTTTACAAGTCTGCCAGAGATGCTGATCTTCGTGCATGTTCTAACACCTCCTGTACACGTATCCTTCTGAATAATGTACACATCAAGGATAGGATAGGCATTAATTGTGGTTTGGAGAAGCATCATTATTGTGTAAGGTGAGAATGCCTCAAATTGCCTTCAAAATTTCAATTTTTGCAAATCAGAAGTGCCTGTTGGAGAAAACGTACAATGTAGGGCCTACACATTGAATTCAATGTATGTGCCTACACTATACATGTACCTGTATTCATTTGATTCAATTCTGCATGAAATTTACCTCCAATGTTCTACGCATCTGTAATCCGTGCATGTTATCAATATGTCCTAATTATAAGAGCAGCATTTCACATGGAATGTGCACAAGATGGGAACAGATTTTTGGAATGAGATGATTACTTAGATTAGATGATGCATATGCTGTTCACAAAGATGGTCACAATATGCATGTACACGTAAACCGTAGGTGGATGAGTTCCGATGAGGCTTGTGTTCATGTTACAATGCAAATTGAAATCTAATCTTAATACTCTCAACTTCGTGACGCTGTATTTTGAGTAATTCATTTCAGGTCTTTTAAGTACATTAATTTAATGTGAAAGTAAGCATTCAGACTTGTTTCATTATATGTTCATGTGCAATGTCATGAAACTGTCAAACAGTGTAAATAAAATCAAAATCCAAACACATCGATCTGTTTTAGTAGTTCTCTTCTCTGGAAATCACGTGGATTTGTGCCATTATTTTAGTTGTTTTAGCAGATTCATGCTTGTATTCATTGCCACATGTAGTGCGGGAAACAAAATGAAATAACTTGACATCAGTGTCGCTATGTAGTGAAAAGGGAATGACTAGCGGTCACAGCAGGAAATATTAAACACTGGCAGTTAAGAAAGAAGAATCTTTCCCAATTGTGCTGGTCGTGAATTGCTGCTTCCTGTCCACAGCCCTATGTATTTAAGCATTAATTAATTTAATAGATCAAACTCAGTGACATCTCACTCTGGATCTCAGGACTGACGTGCGCAAAATGTTTGCCGCATTGTTGGGACCAGCAGAAAATGAGCGAATGCTGAAAGTGATCCAGGGTTTTAGTCATGTGCAAGTTGCCTGCTTGTTTTGTTCCTTGGATAGAAAGGCTGTTGGACTGCATTCCCTCAAACTGTCACCTCCAGTTGAAATATATCTGCGTTGTACACTTTCTAGCAAACCTGATGCACCTGAATTGGGTATTGTGTGCTCATCCCCTGAGAGAGCCACTGAAAATGTGCTGGTGTTCATCAAAGCTGGTTCTGGGGAATCTCTTGTGGCCACTACTCAGTTGAAGTGGTGCATGTTGGTAAAATTATGAAAACTTCTGGATGAATAGCCTACATGCATGTAGCCTGTAAAGGACGGGGGCACTCCCTAGCCAACAACCCCTACCCACTAGAAATTAAAAAAAAACATGAAACAAGAAAAGAGAAAAGAAGGAAAGGATAGAAGAAAGATGCTTGTTTTAAAAAATATTGCAGAATCGACCTAGTGGTTTGTTAATACTGTCAAGCGCTTTACTCTCTTTCCGAAGATTATCCTCCCCTCAAAAAATAGCCCAATGATGCGCTTGGTTGAATTATTTTGCACTTTCGGGGAGAGATAAAGTATTTTTGAAACAATACGTAAAATGTCACTGAAATTACTTTGCATAGGTGAAAGGGATGGACCACACAACCTGTTCAAGTATCTGAATGCCTTTATCCGTAATGTGTCCACAGTGTCATTATGCATGTCGGCAGGTATATGCTTTGGTATGAGTCATAGACACGCCAGTCCTATACATACACCCCTTCCCTCTAATCCCTGGGCTGGAACACAGTGGCACTCGCTAGTTTCGAACAAGCAATTCTAATTTCCTGTCTTACGAATGTGACCTGTGGTATCCTATGTTGACAAGGAAGGGTGACTTTAAAGGATCCAGGAAATAAACTTTTCTTAGAATCACTTTTTGTGTATCTCTCTACTCTTTTTCAATGTATGAAGACTGTTTGACGTCTTTTTTAAGTTACATGAACTGAAATAGAAATATTTTTATAAATTTTACTAAAAACCCTTGAAATCGCATCTTTGGGTTTCAGTTAACCTCACTTTAAATTTTTGTTTGCAATTTTAACCCATATTTTGATCCTTTTTTGGTTTCCTGCTAATGTATTTGCATATTCATGAGCAGAACTGTGATGTCATCCAAGGCACTGAATCTCAATGTTGCACTGATTTGTGCACTTTTTCAAACATTAAAAACTGACCAATCATTTCTAAACAAGTGAGGGCACTTTTGTTTTGACGTAAATCCAGAAAGACATGGCTCAGGTTGCATGTTTTCATGTTCTAATTGTGAACCCTGAATTTGCAATCTGGGAACATTTCTGTGAAAAGGAATTTTGCTGGATTATTGCCATATACACAGCAATAAGCAGCACACAGCAATAAATTGTAAAAGAAAATGAAATCTGCCATAGCAGTGGTTCAAAATCAGTGCAACATTGAGATTCAGTGCCTTGAATGACATCATAATCCTGCTCATGAATATTTCTCAGTAGTGGCACTCATCAAGCAAATTGCAAAGGTTTTGAAATCCCAAGCACTTGAGTCTCTGAGACCAAGATGCATCCATTTCTCACGGAGTGGAAAGAATTCAGCCAGAAAATTCAATTTGCTCGACTGTATAGGGCATTAAAAATCCAGGGGTCAAGTTCACCTGGAAATTGTGAAGACTGCATTAATAAAGAGAGTCATCACCAGGCAGCCTTATCGTGCTGGGCACTTGACAAAAATAATCTCAGGCTTGCAAAAATGTACATGTATATTTTCATTTGTTGTCTTGTCGACCAAGTTGTGAAATGTGCTTGGACCTGAATCCACTGGCAGTGTCTATACATGTACACGTAAATATTTATATTGATGGGCACTACAGTTGTCAGAGTTTATAGGGAGGGATGTATTATCTCCAGTGCAGTCTTTGGACCCTAGACTGAAAGCATCAAGAGAAGATGCATCCCTGTAGGCCAACTTTTGTATCTGTACTGACAGAAACTTCTTTTTATTAAAAGTGTTCACTCTACCTACCTTTCATATTAGCTTGTTCAATATTAACATAATGACAGAAAGATCAAGTAATGGCCCAATGACTGATAAAGTGCTTTAAGTGAATAATTTTTTAAAAATGTATTTTTCGGTTCTGGTTAGTCTTGGAGAAATGTTGCTAAGTGCATTTGTTTCAGTTTGCACTTCCCGATTAAATCTTCTGCCTACTTTGTTTCATTTGTTGCCCAGTGAATTTCAGGGATATACATTTCTGCATGCTACCCACAAAAATGTGTTTTTGGTTTTTCTCTCAATAGAAAAGTACTTCACCTCACATAACAGTGAATATTTTGATGCAGATCACTAGCCTTCTCTGAAGGCACTGTCAAGTTATATATGGAGACCTCCACAAGAGGAGAAAAAATAGGAGTAATCTTGCTAACTGTGGTTGGTTTTCCAGCAAAGATGTCTTTGAGTGATATGTAAATTGGTAGGCAAACTCCATTTGCTGAATGCATTTCAAGAGCATATACACTGGTATCTCGGCACAAGTAGCAACCTTTCTTGAATAATTACATTTGAAATTGAAATGGCCTTCACCAATACAGCCCATATGGCTTCTTGTGTATTTACCAACTACATGTGATGAAAAATATACAAAATGGACACAAATGGACTGTTACTAATGCATTTGCTGTAGCACAACTGTGACTGTGAATTCCACATACATGTACGTTTAAGAAGGTGCAATGATAAAACAAAATACGGATGTCAGGATTTTCCGAGTTTCTGGTTGAAAATTTACAACGTAAGTATGGAAAGAAAGGCTTCCATGGTAATAAGTATCGTTACAATTGCTTTCAGGTAATTGCTTGAAGAGGAAGAAAAGGAGGGTCCCTACTCAGTTTTTAATGAAGATTTCAGATCAATCATTCCTTTCCTTATCTTGAAAATACTGTTGTCATGCACAGGAAACATGAATATTTATACATGTAGTAGCATTATTGGCGATCTGTTCTTTGAAACTGGCACTGACGAGCACATCACTGTGACCCATAGTGCAAATTACTTTCTTCTTTTTTTTTCAAGATTTTGTCTTGTGCAGAGGTTACTTTTATGGTTTTATTGAGCATCTGCAACCCCCCCCAAATTATTCTGCAGGACTAATGAGACATGAAGCTTCCATCACTGCTTTACTTTCAGCTTGAGTTTTCTAAATTTGGAGGCTGAAGGGCCTGCGTTGTGCATCCTTGGGTGAAGATGTTGTGATGACTGTATATTACTTACACTTTCAGTAAGTGTGAGCATGGGAAATACCTTAATTTGTTACGTAAGTGCTGAGTCACTCAAAGTGCTGGGGAAATTTGATGGGTCAGTGTATCCTAATCTGTGTGATCAAAGTCACCTGTTTACACAGTAAAATACTAATTTAATTATCGGTACACTATCTTGAAAAACACATTACTTTTACACTTCAAGAGAAATTATGTATTCACAGACTTTACTGAAATTGTATCACCCTGACAAAATACAACCAACCCTCCATTCAAAACATATAATTTTTCTTGTAAACAAGTGTTCGAAGGTCATCCTGAAGAGATTTCAGTTTCATTTTTGAAGATGTCATGTGTAGAGGTCTAGAGTCCAGTTCCTCTTGGGACACATTTTACTGCAGTGATCCTCTGCTAATGTAACTTTCCAAAATGGGTGTTGAGAGCAACATAAATAAGCTTGCCAAAGCATGAATGCAATGCCCCTCCTGAGTAACTAATATTGCTCTTTCTGTCTTGAGCAGTAGATCTGGCTGTAGATTGATGAATGTCCATTACCTTCACTGGCACAGACTTCCAAGTTGGAAGTTGGACTATGCTCTCATTCATTAATGGGTCTGCCTGCTGCTTATCCTGTTTAGTGTCCAACCACACTGTGTGACAAATGAAAGTGCTCTTCACTGCATTAGTAGCCACAATTCTTGCCCTGAAGTGATCAATGCTGTAAGTAAAGCTGACTGGAATGAAAGGCCATTAGTCTACAGTGGAGAACATTGCTAATATTGTTATCAATCACAAAGAACAAGTCGGGGAACAAGACGTAATCTTTGTATTTTTGAATACAAAACTTTTTCATCACTTAGATGACAACTTTATCAATGATAGTGGATTTTCAAGACTTTCATTCACAAAAAAATAACAGTTTAATTTGCAAAAAAGAAGAAAATGAATCTGGTAAGAGTAAGAGCTGGGAGTGAAGGAGTCAGAATTCTGGGTTCAGTGATCTTTTCTACCTTCCCTTGCAGTATTGATCAACTTCCCATAAAAAAAATCAGAAGTTCTGAGATCTGTGTCTGGAAATTGCTGAGCAAACTAAGCCAGGGTCGTGATGACATTCAATTTAACTGCTCTACCTCGTAAGTCTCAAAGGTTAATTTCTGTCTCTCACAACACCTGCATCTATGGACCACAACTTCCAAATGCCTGCTTCAGGAAAACAGCTCTTCAAGGCCGGTTATTTTGCACAGTGGCTGCGACAGTGTTTTTGTAGGCTTCCAGACTCAACAGTATACATGTACTATGAGAAAATTCTTTGCATTCGTTCACAAACACCAAGCACTTTACACGGAAGTGTGCTAC